AGGGCCCCGCGGCTCGCTGGGGTTATCCATCACGGCACCTTGACGCGGGGTTCATAAATGTCGATGGGGAAAAGGGAGCGGATCGGTGCCGCGGTTCATGAGGACAGGATCGCTTTTGATGCCTCTGCCTGCCCTGGACCATTGCTGTGGCAGTCCGGAGCCGTGTGCGTCACTCCATGGCTATCCGTGATGGCTCAACCCACCTTGCCATGACAGAGCATGTAAATTTGGACATGGCAGTACCGTGGTGCTAGACCAAAGCAGCTATGGGCTTTGTGCCTGGCACAAATACGCAAGCAGGAGAGGCTGTATTCTGTACTCTGCTCCAGCGCTCAGCAAATAAGACAAGGAATTTACTCTTCATTTGCAGGCTCTGAAGGTGATGCCTTTGGGCCAAGGAAGCAACTCTGTGTGGGTTTTTGCATGCTTTTCACTAAAAATGTTTTTTACTATTGAGTAAAAACCCAAATGGGTTTTGGCCTCCCCATTTGGGCTCAGGTCCTGCCCCGGCTGGTGTGAACATTTCACTTTCTGTTGAGATGTCTCTCGCTGCAGTTGCACTTCAATACCAATGCAATCTGTGTGCAGGATGAGGGTCACGCACATACAGTCTGAACGGAGTCCAGGTAGATGCCTGCTTCCAGTTAGTGTTTGCTCTAATGGAATTTGGATCTCTAAACTACCCAGAGCTACATTAATTTAACCCCCAGTTGAACGCTGGACTACTTTTCCACTGGGTAGTCTGCTTTTTCTAGAGTTTGTTGTTTGCGGTGTCCTTTCCACTGCTCAGGGGACGGCCCAATGCGATGCTCTCCACAGTAGCCATGTCCATGAATGAGATCTCTCAGCTCTGCACCACTGTGAGGGTTGAGAACTCAGCTGTGAAGCTCTCTGCTCTCCTTTTTTTTTACAGGACAGCAAATAAATGTGAAAGAAGTAAACGGGAAGGTGTTCTTGCAATGTGCAGGCAGTGCAGGTGAAGTCGCATGGCAGAAAGGTGGGCAGAGCATAGGAAACGCATCCCTGCTGGAGCTGGGTGCGATTTATGATGATCCCAGAGGCACATATGCATGTGAAGCAGGAGGAAAATCATACGCCCTCTACGTGCACTATCGAAGTAAGTGTTGCGTACCTGGTTTCTAGAGCCAGAACTGCTTGGAGTTTTCACCAAAGCAAATTTTTGAGGGAACTACTGATTTCCCAGAATTTGAGGGTGATTCTACCAGTTTGTGGAAGTCCTGACAGCTCCTGTGCTAGGTAGCCCTTGGGACAGCCAAGCTGCACCTTCCCCTGCATGCAGTGTCCCCGTGAGAGCTCTACGGCCTCATTTAGTGCCATAACCTGGTACTCGTACTGCCTCACTGCCGGCTGCTCACTGTGGCCTGCCCTGAGTGCTGGGGACACATGGCAGCTTGCACCACTGCCTGGGTCACGCAGCAAGCCCAGCTTAATCCCTGGGACTGGCAGAGCTGGCTGAGCACTCTGGGCTCCGACTGGCCCTGGTGACAGGGCGAAGGCGGCCAAGGGGCAGGGTCCTGGTCACGGCCCTGCTTTCAGTGTTTGTGTCCTTTTGGGCTTCCAGTGTGCCAGAACTGCATCGAAGTGGACGCTCCCACCATCTCGGGGATCGTGGTCGCAGATGTTGTCGCCACCATCTTCCTGGCGGTTGCTGTGTACTGCATCACGGGCCAGGACAAGGGACGCATGTCACGAGGTGAGGGGAGAGCCCTGCTGCCGGCGGGCGGGGTCAGGCAGTGCCTGGGCATCTTTGGAGCTGCGTGGTACCTCGGGACTTTCCATTGCTGCCCGCAGACCCCAGTCACTGCAAGCTGCAGGCAGCAGCCTGCACATGGCGTGGCTAGGGTAGGGATCCATGTGAGCACTCCATGTACCCTTCCTGACCCTGGCCCAGCTTCCCAGAAGAAGCCATCGAATGCGCAAGGTTCACCAAAAGATCGTGCCAGGGTCAGCTGCTGCTGGCACAGGAACGTCTGAGGCCTTGCAGGGGCTTTCCACCGAGCGTCCCAGAGGAAGTAAAAGCACACGGCTGAAAGCAGATGGCCGCTTGGGTTGGTTTGCAAATGTTCACCACACTGCCCATGCCTCCCCTGATCCTTGACCACCTTCTTTTTTCTTTTAGCTTCTGACAGGCAGAACCTGATTGCCAACGAGCAGCTCTACCAGGTGAGCATGGGCACGCGCACGTGTGTGTGTGTGTAGGGACGGGGACAGCCACCTCTGCATGGCATGGGGCTGTGTGGTGGGACCGGGGAGGCCACGACAGCCCAGCTGCGGGGGGCTACTCGACGCCACGAGGCACTGAGCCACGCTGGAGGTTGCTCTCTGCTGGGGCGTTCACAGCTGCCTCCCCCTGAGTGACCCAGAGGATGGGGCAAGCTCAGTTACACCCTGCCTCTTACTCTCTGGGGTTGTTAAGCTCTGTGTGCGGGGACGGAAAGCTTGCCAAAAGCTTGGCAAAGGGAGGGCTGGGCCAGCTTCTGCCGTGCCCTCCCTCCCAGGGCTGGACAGACACAGCTGTAGCTCGTCTCACCTTTTTGTCCTCCTAGCCCCTTGGCGAGCGGGACGAAGGACAGTACAGCCGGCTGGCACCTGCCAAGGCCCGCAAGTGAAGTGGGAAGACGC